TTTTTTTTTTTTTTTCGCTCTACTGAGTGGGGCCTGAGGATGTGTTTGACATGGTGATCTCTTTTCAGGGTATTTCTGTCCTGCCTTGTCTAAAGCCTTGAAGACAATGAAGAAGGGAGAAAAAGTCCTCTTGACTGTAAAACCTACATGTAAGTTAGATCCATGTGATAATATTTGAAGCTGTTTCCATTTTGGTTGCTGATTGTAAATATTGTTGCAGATGGATTTGGAAAAAATGGCAGGTCAACCACTGGTGATGATTGTGATGTGCCACCAAATGCTAACCTTGAAATAAATCTGGAATTGGTTTCATGGAAAACAGTTTCAGACATTACCAATGACAAAAAGGTTCTGAAAAAGATCCTACTGGAGGGCGACGGTTACGATCGTCCAAGCGACGGCGCAACTGTGCATTGTAAGTTACATGTTAAATGATGATGAGGTATTCATGCATAGTATGTGTGGCATTCTGAGTATGTAATCCAAAAATGTCTTTTGTCTTGCAATTTGGTAGTGAAATTGATTGGGAAGCTGCAGGATGGGACTGTGTTCGAGAAAAAAGGACACAATGAAGAACCACTGTTTGAGTTCAGGGTAGATGAAGGTAAAACCATTTTGCTTCTCTTTTTATTCAAACTAGTTTCCATGCATGTAAGATGTGTAAATTGGCTGGGCAGTGCAGGCCAGGGGGTTGTCCCATGTGGGTCCCTTTTTATTTTTCTAGAAAATAGCAAAAAAATAAAATAAAAACTAAAACCTGAATCAATTTACATCTCTGTCTCTGTTAGATGCTGCTCACTCTTTTATATGCAAACTGAAGGGGTATATATTGTAAATCAAAAATACTTGGAATGACTCTCGAAACAAATTAGATTTGAGTTATTATTACTTTTCACATGTTTATTTTCTTTATCTTGCTTTAGCTCTTCCTCTGATTGTACTAAGTGAATCATTTGAGTAAAGACCTACCCAGTGAAACAACATAAACACCATTGTTGGTAGTGTAAATAAATCAGTAGCTTGTAATTTGTTATATTTTGATACAAGACGAGGATTTGAAATAAAGTAGTTAGTAGGTTATATATCCTATCTATAAAACATATATCGTAATACTTCAAGCAATCATTTTTATCTTGTACGTCCTAACTAAAAGATCAAACTTAAGATCACTAGGATGTTGATTAACTTGGAATCTATACAATTAATATTTCAAGTTGTCAAAAATGAAAAGTTTCTATAACTTTGGTAAATAAAATTTAGATAAAGGTTAATTTTGATTGTTTATGTGTTAGTTATATTTTTAAACTTTTATGTAGGGGTGGACGCGGGTCGGTTCGGTTCGATTCTAAAGAGAACCGAATCGAACCAAAATTTTCGGGTATCTAGTAAATGGAACCGTTTGGTACAAATATAATTATGGAACAGTTCGGGTTCGGTTCCATTCGGTTCTGTACTATAATTAAATTTTTTAACATTTATAACAACATTATATAAATACAATTAATGATACATTCAATGGTTTTG